ATAGAAATCATCCTGTTACTATGTAATACACAGAGTCAGTTTCATAGGCATGTGACCTCTGCACTAACACAGGGACCCTATGCTCAAAAGGGCCCTTCCTGGCCTTCAGAGATATTACCATCTTTTAAAGCCTGGAAATTAATATTGTCAACACCCCCAGCTCTAGGCTTACCTAATTTTAACAAACCTTTACATCTATACTCCCCTGAAAATAAAGGCATTGCTATAAACATTCTATGACAATCTTGCCTCTCAGGTACAACCTATAGTATATTTTCTCATGCTAGTTAGACCCTATAGCACTGGGTATGCCCTCATGCTTATGTGCACTGATTGTTTGGGGCTCAAAATAATGCTCACGCTAAAGCATCACATCCTGTGGTGGCCTACCCTAAACTCATGATAGCAAACCAGAGCGAATCCAGGAAAATGGGGATAGGATACCTTAGAATGTAGCCGGAAATCTTTACTGGGAGAGTAACCTTTGAGTGAGGGAAAATTGTTGGCTTAAGAATTATTCAAATTGGCTTTCTTATGTGACAAATAATTGCATTGTAAAATTATGATGGAGAATTACTGTTGGATACAACACACACATAACTTTCTGAATTAATAATCTAATCTAATCAATGTACATTTTAGAAAAACTCATAATGCTTGTGTTGGGGCTCAGGGTAGGTGACCCTAAAATATGCTATGTTGGCATCTTGATTATTTTGAATGAAAGTTACTTAAGAAACAGCCAGTGCGGGGCACCTGGGTGGCTCAGTCGTTAAGTGTCTGCCTTCAGCTCAGGTCATGGTCCCAGGGTCCTGGGATTGAGCCCCACATCAGGCTCCCTGCTCCGCGGGAAGCCTGCTTCTCCCTCTCCCACTCTCCCTACTTGTGTTCCCTCTCTCGCTGTGTCTCTCTCTGTCAAATAAATGAAATCTTAAAAAAAAGAAGAAGAAGAAAGAAACAGCCAGTGCAAAAAGGACACACTGACCCTCCTTTGTCTCCAGAAAGCAAGAAATTAACCTCCCATGTGCATGGTACCCTCCCTGAATCAGGATGTAGAGAGACATCCTTATCATCAGAGAGAGAATTTAGGATGAAGAAGCCTATATAAACAAACCTTGTTACTTTTACTAACTGACTACCCCCATCCAAATTGTTTAGAATTCCTTACTAGTTGAAGTTCCCAAACATAAGTTTTCTTTATCCTGTCAATTGCAATTTATCGTTTCTTTGTTTAAAAAAAGCTGCCTGCCTTAGTCATATCTGTAGGACCTCGTATGTACAAATTAAATTTGATTCTTTCCTGTTAACTGTCCATGTCAATTTAATTCTTAGACCAGCCAGAAGAAGCTTGAGGGTAGAGAAAATTTTTTTCTCCCCAACATTTGCTTTATATACTTTATGGTTTACAAGTCCCTTTATCTGTTATCTCATTTAATCCTCACAATAGCTCTGTAGTGATATCAGCCCATTTCACAGCTAAGGACACTGAAGTCCAAAGATGTAGAAATCTTCCTCCAGATTGCACTCTAAGAAGAGAGGATTTGAATATAGCCCCAAGCCCTCAGGTGCCAGGGTTGTGCCCAACCAAGTGAGTCTCTTGATAAGCCTTTTGGATTATCTGGGAAATTTGCTAAAAAACAAAACAAAAAAAACCCCAACATCGGCAAAATACCTTCTCATCTTCAGGGGCCGCCCTGCATTAGGCTCAAGAGTTGTGTTTTTGTTTTTGTTTTTTTTACTGCAGTCTCATCAGAGTTGGGTGGTCTTTTTTTGCTGACCCTTCATATAGTTCTTTAGGGAATTCATTTCTCTGGTATTGTGAACTACTTTCTTTAATACCAATCTTACTTCTTCTATCACAAATTCTTGTAAAGAGAGAAAGAAATTATGACTTTTGTATTTCTAAAACGTATTTCTGAAGATTTGTTTTTGTGGGAGGCTTCCTCTTCTGAGAAAAAAGATAAATGAATAAAATAATTCCCAAGTAAAATATGAAGTTTTAATAAAATTAATAAAAATAGCTATGATTTACTAAGTACCTACCTTAAACCTTTAAACTCTAAGCTTCATGGGGGTAGGTACCCATTTGTCCCTAGTACCCAGAACAATACCAGGCACAGAGTACATGTTCAAGAAATATCAGTACATGTAATAAATTGATACCAGGCACAATGTAAAAATGTAATATTTCATTTAATTTACATGTATATCTCATTTAATTCCAACTCCCTCCCTACCTCTTACCACATACACACAAACATACAACTTAATGGAATAGATATCTTTATCTCAGATGAAGAAATTGGTATTAAGAGAAACTGAGTGATTGGGGTGCCTGGGTGGCTCAGTTGGTTAAGCGACTGCCTTCGGCTCAGGTCATGATCCTGGAGTCCCTGGATCGAGTCCCGCATCGGGCTCCCTGCTCGGCAGGGAGTCTGCTTCTCCCTCTGACCCTCCCCCCTCTCATGTACTCGCTCTCTCTCATTCTCTCTCTCTCAAATAAATAAATAAAATCTTTAAAAAAAAAAAAAAGAGAAACTGAGTGATTTATTCAAGGATACATGGCTGGTTAGTAAATGGTCTCTCTACCTCCAAAATTTCTCTTAATTAGGGTTCTATGAATAGAACAAAATTGGAATGACTTAGATCATAATATTCCATCACCAGGGTAACATTTCAGTAGGCTGATCCAAACCAGTGGATTTCAAATAGGCTTTGGGTTGCTGCACATTAAAGGTAATTTATAATAACATACCTGTAGAAACAGTAGTATATTTTCTATATATACGCAGTTGAGTCTTGTTATTGCAGTAGGTATGTTCTATAAAGTGGCCCCAAACATCGAATTATCAAATACTCAGCCACTGCTCCTAGGGGAAATACAGGGTTAGGTTCTTGTGAGCCTCTGGTCATAACATTTTTGTCAACCAATCAATACATAACCTTATTTTATGTATATAACATTATTTAATACATACTATTGATTCATTAACATTGAACTCACAACTAACAGCATTATAACTCATGCCTGAACAAAGCTTATCTAACACATATAAGTCACATTACAGCCTTCTTGCTGCTTAGGAGCACTGGACAGCGCTTTAGCAGTATACTTGGGGGGCATCCTAAAAAATAATGACACTAAATAGATCAGGAAAAGGACACTTGTTTATAGTATGAGAGCTGAAGCAAGAACGCAGAGTATCCCCTTGTTTGACCTTAGCTGGGAATATGCACATCAAGGAGACTAAAATTTTTGCTACTCTGTGCATTTCTGGGAATGATGATGGAAATGCCACAAGTATTGATTTTGAGATAACAAATTTTTATGAGTAGACAATTTTGCTAATATGGACTCCATGAATAATGAAGATGTTCTCTCTGTAAATCCTTAATATTTTCAAAGCCCTTTTCTTAATTTTGGGGGTTTTTTTAAGATTTTATTTTATTTTTTTAAGTAATCTCTACAACCAATGTAGGGCTTGAACTTACAACCCTGAGGTCAAGAGTCACATGCTCCACCAACTGAGCCAGCCAGGCGCCACTCAAAGCCCTTTAAAAAGCCATAGGTTGTTCACATTACTTATCTCTGTTTAAAAGACTAAAACTGGGTGAATTAATCATAGAAATCATCCTGTTACTATGTAATACACAGAGTCAGTTTCATAGGCATGTGACCTCTGCACTAACACAGGGACCCTATGCTCAAAAGGGCCCCACACTTGGTTTAATGCTCTGCTGTTGCCATCTTGAAATTTTCAATGAATTTTCAATAAGGGGCCCTACAATTTCATTTTTCACTGGGCCCCACAAATTATGTAGCTGATCCTGGTTGCATAGCAAGTAAACAGATCAATAACTGGAGGGACAAACAAACAAAACAAAACAAAAAATAACTGGAGGGACAAAAAATAACTGGAGGGACAAATTTCCCCAACTTATCCAATTGAACAAATCCTTTATTTCACAGTGCCTAATTGATATATTAAAGTTACCATTTATTGAGGATTGGCTATATTAGGTCATTTAATCCTTATGACACTCTGTGAGTTGGACATTATTTCCAATTAAATAAGGAAACTGAGTGCCCAGAGAAGGTCACTTAACTAAGGTCATACAGTTATTTTGTATGACATATAAAACATACCTTGTTTTCTTTTCTTTTCCTTTAGTCATGTCCCAATTTGATTTCAGCCCCTAGAGAGGATAAACAGTAAAAGTGTTAGAGAGGATATAATTCAAAAAGTTTAAATTCTGATAAATTAGTATCTCTAGTAAAAGTAAGTTGAAACTGATGACAACAATGAGGTATTTAAACTATTTAAATAAAACCATATTTTGTTTCCACTACACTGGATAATAATTGGTGATTGGAATAGAGTTAGCTTTGTTGAGGCCAATTTAATTCTTTTTTTTTTTTTTTAAGATTTTATTTATTTATTTGAGAGAGAATGAGAGAGAGCACATGAGAGGGGGGAGGGTCAGAGGGAGAAGCAGACTCCCTGCCGAGCAGGGAGCCCGATGCGGGACTCCATCCAGGGACTCCAGGATCATGACCTGAGTCGAAGGCAGTCGCTTAACCAACTGAGCCACCCAGGTGCCCGAGGCCAATTTAATTCTTTAGTGTTAATTGAGTGTGTAAAATATTTTGTCTTCCTTCAATTTAAACTTGCTAGATCCAATGCTGAAAAGGCATCTTTTCTCTTTTCATGTCTGCAATTGACATCTTGTCTAAAGAGAAAGTTTACTTAAATCATTTGAATACCAAGGGATCATTTTCTGGTGGGTTGTGTATTATCTTTTATATTTGTGAGCAAATGTTACTGGATTTATACATTTAAGAAAGTCAATTTGTCAATTGCTTTTTATTGGGCTCCTACATTATATGAGCTTGAACTCCAATTTTATTGTGAAAGATATGCTGCCTAAGCTTGAGGATTTTTCAGGGAGATAGGAAACAGAAATGGGAAATGGAAAAGATGTGCCTGCCAGAGGTGGGAAAATGAAACTGCAGTTCAAGAAAAAATTGTTTTCTTCTCATATCCTTTACCTTAAAAAAAAAAAAATTCTCTTATGCTATTAAAATTCCTAGAAACAAAATAAGGATAAGAGATTTAGATCCCATCTGACATGTTGGATTAAAGGAAAATAGCTTTTCTTGTTTTTCCCAGTCCTAAAATTTTGGGAGCAGACCTAAGCTCAACCTTCACCGGGGAGCCAAGCCCAGCCAGACCTTCAAACCAGAAGCCAAGTTCTCAGGTGAGCCCAGCCCAGCTCAATCCACCACTGAGCATGAGAATAAATGTTTATTGTTGTATGCTGTTGAGTTTTGCAGCATTATTGTGGCAATAACTGCCTGAGACAATTCTTTACCATCTTTCAGAAAATTCTAGTCTTCCTTGAGCTTTGGACAGGGGGAGGGGGAAAAAAGTTCAAATTCCATTCTCCCTTAAACCATTTCCTTTTGTTTAGGGACAACTATTTTCTGCAGGTACAAACACATGTAAGATTTATGTGTTAGCCAGAGAACTTTGAAACATACCTCTTCTCCTTTTGTGTATCCAGGAATGACAAATGATGACTCTGGCAGGTTTCCTAAAATAGTGTGTGTTTGTGTGATTTTTGTCACTCCAGTGTGTTTCAAAGTGTATTGTTCAAAGTGTAAACAACCTACAAGTCTAACAATAAATGGACTAATCAAATATATTATTTTAAGTCCATATGAAAGACTACCACACTGTCATCAAATATTTCATTTTTATTATGAATGACATATATGTAATGGCATGAAAAATTCTCATTATATAATAGTGAGTGAATAGGAGTCAAGATTTATAAGTAATATACTTTTCATTCATTCAACAAATATTTATTAACCACCTGATATGCATTAGGCAATGTGCTAGGTGCTGATTCCAATTTTATTTAACAGTTTTATTGAGATGTAATTAACATACGATAGACTGTATGTGTTTAAAGTACAATCTTGTAAACTTTGACATATATATATATATACACCCATGAAACCATCACCACAATCAAAATAATGAACATAGTCATCACCCCCAAAAGTTTACTCATGTCCCTTTATAACCCCCGTCTGCTGCCCTTGTCCTCAACCCCTTCCCATTCCCAGGCAAACACTGATCTGCTGTCCCAGTAGAGTAGTTCACATTTCCTAGCATTTTATATGAAGGGAATCATATAGTATATATTCTTTCTTGTCTGGATTTTTTTTTCACTCAGCATAATTACATTGAGATTCATCCATGTTACTGTGTAGCAATAATATATTCCTTTTTTATAACTGAGTAGTGTCCATTGTGTGGATATACAATAATTTGTTTATCCATTCAACTGTTGATGGATATTTGGGTTGGTAGAACTTATTGGCTCATAAAAATAAAGCTGTGATGAACATTCATATATAAATTTTCTTGTGTACAAATAGTTTCTTCATACGCTTGTATAGAGACTTTCACTTTTGTTGGGTAAATACTCCGGACTAGAACATATGGCAGATAAACGTTTAACTTTTTAACTACCGCACTGTTTTCCAAACAGTTGTACCATTTTACAACCTCACTAGCAGTGTCTGAGAGTTCCAGTCCTCCACATCTTCACCAGCACTTGATTTGGTCGATCTTTTTAATTTCAGCCATTCTACTGATAGGCAGTATCTCACTGTAGTATTGATTTACATTTCCCTAATGATTGATGATGCTGAGCATCTCTCTGTGTGCTGACTATACCATCTGTATAACTTCTTTACCGCAGTGAAAATATAATTTCTCTGTTTTATGGCTTCTATTGTTCCTTTTTGAAAAGTCAGCTGTTAGTTTAACTGCCCTTCCTTTTATTCTCTCATTGCTTATAAGATTTCCTTTTTTTCCAAATTCCACTGTAACTTAAGTGTGGATTAAAAAAAAATCTTGGGGTGCCTGGGTGGCTCAGTTGTTAAGCATCTGCTTTCGGCTCAGGTCATGATCCCAGGGTGCTGGGATAGAGCCCCGCATCGGGTTCCCTGCTCAGCGGGAAGCCTGCTTCTCCCTCTCCCACTCCCCTGCTTGTGTTCCTGCTCTTGCTACCTCTCTCTCTCTGTCAAATAA